ACACATAGGGTCCTGAGCCAGTGAGTGCAGTTAGTGGGGCCAATACATGTGATCGGCGCGGCCACATGGATTTGTAGTAGTTCACTGCACCAAGGAAAGAGCGGACCTGTGATTGGTTTTGTGGGTTTCCCATCTTGAGGATTCCATTCACTTTCTTTTGCCAAGGCTTGACTTCTGTGGGAGTGAGCCAATAGCCAAGGAAGTCAGACTCCTTCACTGCCCACTCACACTTCAAAGGATTACATTTCATTCCATTGGATGCTAATCGTTCCAAGACTGGGTCAACCAAAGAGAGATGCTGAGTAAATGGACCTTGGGACCATATCCCCATATCATCGATATAGACTTCAACATCCAAGCCAGATAGGATCTTTGTGATGAAGGCTTGGGCATAATCTGGGGATGATTTAAGTCCCATTGGTAATCGTAAGCATCTGTAATTGCCATGGGTCGTAGTGAGGGTGCATATTTTCTGGCTYTCTTCATCCAGTTCAAAGCAATAGAACATCATGGAGAGATCAATCTTGGTGAAATGATCATATCTTGTTCTGCGATTCATGATGTCTTGGATTTTGGGGAGATTGAACTGAGGTCTCTTGATCCTCTTGTTTAATTCTCTCAGATCGACGAGCCATCGAACTCTGCCGTCTTTCTTTGGAATGATAAAGGCCGGAAAGCCCCATTCTGAATTGCCAGTGGGAGCAATCACTCCTTCATCAACAAGATGCTGGCATTCCCTTTTGAAAATATCCTCGTGTCTGTAGGGAACTGGGTATGGTCTTATATAAACTGGTTCTGCATCATCCTCGAGATCGATGTGGATCTTTTCATGTGGATATCTGCCTAGTTTGCCATCAAACAGCTCCGTGTGTTTGGCTAACATCTCTGTGAATGCTAGTCTTTCTGATTCATTCATGTGCTCCTGCTGGTTTGCAACCTGCTCTGGAGTCACCTTCTGGTACTGCGCGTCCAGGATTTGATTAGGCTTTGTACTTTCAGTCGTAGCCCTGGCAGTATCTACTGCGCTGGCAGCATCTGCTGCTAAATAATTGTCCGAACCGATTGCACGTCTGCAATTTTGTGGTTGGCAGCTGCTTGGAGGGAGCAGATGAAACTCAAAGAAACCTCCATCTAAGAGTTCATCATCCTCKGCAATCCACATGGCTTCTGCCACGTTCTGGGGATTATTGAAGTGATCTGTTGGTTTCATATCAATGGTTGATCCTAACCATCGGGTGGTGCGTGTAGAATAGAAGAGATCTATCCCTGTCATCAGTAGAAAGTCCCTTCCTAGAATCATATCATAATGGCAAGGGGCTGAAAAGAGCCTTGCATTGATTCCTCTGGTATATTTGCCATTACCAAACTCTGGGAGCCGGATGTTGGATATGAAGACATACTTGGACGTATCAAAGCTTCCCTGGGCTGTAGTTGTGACTGAGCTGAATCGGTCCTGAAAGGGSACTGTTCCTGGTGGAAGGCAGCGCTCGTGAATAAGGCACATTGTACTTCCACTATCTAGGAGGACCTTGAATGTTTGCATGGTTGGTAGGTCTTGAATGGCTTTACATACTAAGATGACCACTGGTAGTACATCTTGCATATTTGGTGGTGTTTTCAGAGCTCTCAAGGTGACTGCTGTTGGATTCTTGAGAGCTTCATCATTATCAAGGCCGTAAAGTTCAAAGCTATCTGTTGGTGATTGAGTGAATGGTGGTGGAGGCAATGCAAAGTAAGCCTCGCTTGAATGTCACCACTGTTGATTTGGGCCTTGTCCTTGTCCTTGTCCTTGGAATYGGACCGTCGATCCCGGATTGCTGTGGGACTGTAATGATACATGGCTTGGAGGGCCACTGGAATTAGAGCCATGGTAATTCTGAGTTTGAATTGAATGCGGTTTCATGTTTCCATGTTCATCCATATAATACAATCCAGGAGTGAACMGCTTATTGTCGTTGCTTGCATTTGAATTGCCTTGGTTTCTTTGATTTCCTCCGTAATTTCCCTGGTTGCTTTGGTTTCTCTGATTTCCTCCGTAATTTCCCTGGTTGCTTTGGTTTCATCTGCAATTCCTTTTAGTTCAGACATGAACTCCACAATATCTTCAATCGTGTCCCTCAGGATATTTCTCCCACACTTTTTGTAGTCACTCTGCCAGGATTTGGGGAAGGATTTGAAGAGGATCTGCCTGATCTCTCTTTCCGACAGGGGCTCACAGACGCCATGAAGAATGTTGACTCTGGAGCAGCATGTCTGAATTCTATCGGTGTGTGCTTCACAGGAGATTGAATGAGGTTTCCTTACAGCTTCCGATTTCAAGTAATCAATAACATCGTCCCTGGCGTTCTTGGATGAAGCATAGAACTTCCTGAAAGTAAGGAGGGCTATTTTCCATTGTGCTTTGCTATCTCTTGTCACCTGTTCCGTTAATCTCCTGTTGTTGCGCCACATGTTATTCCACTTCTGTCTGGGCCCGTGTTGTAGGACCATCTGCCACTTGTTGTCTATTTGATCTTCTGCTATCTCCAAGTCTAGGATTGCATCTTCAAAGTCTTCTTGTACATGGAACAGTTCCTGCAAACCATACTCCCCCGAGAAGGTTGTGCATGTCTTGGATAGCTTCCTTGCTGGGTTTCGGAGATTCACGGTCATCGAGACTGTCTTCAATTGAGCTGGATCGAAGTTGTTTGTAAGTCTTAAGCAAGACCGGTGTGTGYTTGTGTTGGTTGATTTCACCATGGTCGATGTGGTATTTTGGTTATTTTTCTTAAGGGTTGATTAGATTTCGATACACGAAAATCACTTAGTAATTACTGTGCACGAGATTACGTGTACTCTTAGTAGGTGTTAAGTGTGTATGAAAATTGAATTATAAGATTAAGATTACCAAGCGCGTTCACGAGAATTCCGAAGTTCCGATTAGATCTTCATGTAGACCTGGTAGGGATCCTACATGAAGGTTCTTCTATTCTGGACTCGTGACATCTCTATTCTTCGTGAGGTATTCTCGACTTGATATCATGGACCTCTTACGATCTTCAATACGAAGGATCCTATGATACATACATATGAATGGTACCTTAAGAAAGGTACGTAGGAATGGTATGATGCTTCACTCCTTCGAATCTTCGTATCGTACGTAAGTACGTACGTATCCGTTGCAAGGCAAAGCAGCATTATACCTTAGATGGATCCTGAATGAACTACTCATCCCTCAAACAACACCAACACCTATCCTTGCTGACAATCATGGAGCAGTTAGAATGGCAAATGCCCATCAACCTACCAGACGCACACGACATGTTGAAATGAAACACTTTGTTATCCTACAATGGACTGATGTATGTAAGTGGTTTACAATAGAAGAGTGATATTATTCACTAGCTATTCGTGATTAAAATCACACATACAACATCTCTAAACAGAGTACGTACGTACGTACGACCCGTACGTGCCGTACAACAGATAAGAGTACGTACTTCTAATTCATACGTACCGGTACGAGGTAAAATGGAAATGAGAAAATCGGTCAAAAATTTCTTCTTTCTGCCACACATGGGATATGATTTCTTGCTCTTGATGCAAAAACAACATACCGGTAGACTAAGTCGTTATGATCACACCAGAATGAAGTTAGTAGTAGTTGCAGTGGATCATACTATTACTGGTTAAACTACCACTGGCAGCAGTTGGGGATAGTGTTCCCAGTAGTGTTAGTTGTGACACCTGTCCACGTACTACTGCTTCTCACTATTTCTGGTTATTCTTCCTTACACAGTCATACCTCGAATGTGCAATAAAATGTTCCTATTTGAGAGAAAAATTGTAGTCAACTGACAATTATCTTATCTGTTTAATTGGAAAATAATGGTTTTCGTATAGCAGCCACACTTATGTAGCATGTTGATTGGGTTTTCGTACGATCAAACTTTGTTTCCATCCTCTTTAGTAAACATAGTTCTTGACGTAAAGAGATTCTTGCATGGAAGGTTGCGACCCAGGCTTGTAGGAACCGGTCGAGGCCTCGGAGTTGGCCTTGGCACGTGCAAGTAATTGGTCTTGGGCGGCCTTGTAGTTCTCTTCCTTTCCATTCCAAGTCTTCAAGCAAGATGATTGAAGTGCGCGGGAGAACGAAAAGGTGAGGGCAAAAGGAGCAACACGGTCAATCTTGTTGATTTCATTGAGGTAAATAGAAGAATCCTCTTCAGAGATACCTCCACTCAAGAAAGTAACACCTGGCATAGCCGATGGGATGGATCTGGAGAGAGTTTGGACAGTCATTCGTGCAATTTCTTCAACAGCAGGCTTGTCTTCACAATCGACACCGCAAACAGTCATCGAAGGTTTCAACAAAGTACCTTCAAGCATAACTCCGCATTCTTGAAGCTTCTTGTAAACGGTAGTGATAACCCGTTCTTGAACCTTGGCGGTAGTGTAAATATCGTGGTCACCGTCGATCAAGATTTCAGGTTCAACAATTGGAACCAAACCGGCTTCCTGGCAGATGCGGGCATAACGGGATAGTCCGTGAGCTGCTTCATCGATAGCGTAGTCGGTGGGGAACCCCTGATCGACATCAATGCGGAGTGCAGTACGCCATTTGGCAAATCTTGCACCCTTTGCGTAGTGGAGGACGCACTTGTCGTAGAGTCCATCCAAACCAGAGCACCAGGTCTCGCCTTCTCCACCCCCGCATAGAGGTTTGAGGCCGGTGTCGACCTTGATTCCAGGGATGATTCCGTTCTCGTTCAAGAGATCGACGAATGCCTTTCCTTCCTTGGAATCTTGGTAAAGAGTTTCCTCGAACAAGATTGCTCCCGAGATGTAGTCACCGATATCAGGTGTGGTGAAAAGGAGTTGACGCCACTGAATTTAAGTATAAGACAATATGGACACAGATGAAATGGATACAAATTGAGGTTTTTGGTTTGTTTGATGATTGAAATCTCATCCAAACGAAAAACTCACCTCTCGACGGTTTTCTTCATTGTTTTCCAAGCCGATGGATTCAAGACGGCTTCCAACGGTTCCAGTCGATTCGTCACAAGCAAGGAGACCCTTTCCTTCTGATACCATGGCAGCGGCAGTTGCCTTGAGTTCGTCAGAGTATTTCTCGAGCGACATCGAAAGAGCAGAAGTGGAAGCGGCGCGGGGAGCTGGGGCGAAGGCATCTGCAACGCCTACAACGGCGGCAATCACGGCAACGGTACTGAATTTCATTGTTGGTATTTGTTGTGTTAATTCAATGTCGATTTGAGAATTGTGAGATCAACGCTTGTTTCACGACCGATAGACCTTTGAGAACGATATTGGTCGAAACTCCTGTTTTCGTCTCTTGGCATGTGGTTCCAACCCTGTTCGTCCGTAAGCATATCTTCGTACGTCATACATCAAGAAGGATCAAAAGGAAGGATCTCCCGATGGCTTTCGAAATCTGGAATCCCACGTCGTCGTCATCGAAGATTTTTCATTCTCGTACGTTGTTTGTTTGTCGTCATCAGTGATCATGATGTAGTTCTTATTCGACAAACAAGATGTGATGTGCAGGTATGGTAGAAAATGAAAAAGCCTCAGCATTCATCGAGTTAAAAAGGGTGTGCAAGATGCGTGTACAGCAGGATCCGGCGCACGCTTCGGACACACTTTTCGTGAAAAGCGAACATGAGTACGAACAGTACGCGAGTAGCTTGTAGCTTCGGGTTTTTGGTAAACCCAGAGACGAATACTGTAAAGCACAGTACCGTACTTCGTACAATAGAACGAAGTGCTTTTCTATTGAAAATTTCGCGCGCACTGCGACTTGGATTTGAAAGTAAAACCGTTGGAAAGAATGATGATAGCTTATTCACTAGCTACTCGGGATTTAGCCTTCCAACCCTATGCTACTCCTACCATTACTTACCGTACAGAATGTACCGTGCCAAAGAGAAAAGGAAGTACCCACGTACCGTACGTACGTACTCGTACCATGAATCGAGTACCAGTACCTATCCATTCTTCATACCAGTAATTCATAATACCGATTCGGTGTGTGATGAATTATTTTGATTCAGGGCGTTGACTTGCTGGTCAATGTTACCTAAGATAGTTCCCAATTCAAACCGTTGTCTTTCATACTAGGCTTGTGCAATAGTAGAAGGGCAAGAAGCAAAGCGCTTCGTGGCAAAATCTAGTAGCTAGCATGGTATAATTATGTTTGTTTGATTAAGATTTTCATAATGCCACATTTTACGAGTGCCTCCAAATCATTTTGGTTGGTCGTATCATGAAGTTAGTTATTACGGCATGGTGTAAACTCGAACAACTGTTCTTCTCTTGTACATCACGTTGAGTAATTAGTCAAATTGACCACGCCGAGGCTCAATCTCCAGGGAATCGTTCAAAAAGTGATCCCAACTGATCCATTCTAGCGTTCGTGTGTAATATTCTTCGGGGTGTTTGGGAATGTATGGAGTTTGGATGTATCCCATCGCCACAAAATCCTCAAATTCTTCTTTTGTGGTCACTCCAAGGTTGTCCTGGACCCACTTGCGAGCTACTTTATAGGGTAATTTCACGGGTTGTTTCTTCAGAAAAGATTGTATATGCTGCTTTTCGAGATAATTGCGAGTGTTTTCGACTTGTATTTCTTCGTAACGTTGTTGTAGTTTTCTATGAAAGGCCTTGTCTTCGTTCGACGATGATGGGGGGATGATGTCCTGATCGTTGTCATTATTTGCTGCGGATAATATCAACTCAGGCCTTCCTCCGTTTCGATGCAAACGTCTTCGGGTACCAAAGTGAATTGTGCTTGGACAAAACTGAAACGCTCTAACCACCAACACAGTTTTGAACATCACAAAAAGTGAACCCAAAAAATTGTGCCGGCGCATCCTTGGGCTTCTCGACAAATTATTTGTCAGCAACTTCAAGAAATATTCTGATCAATTACTCAGTCCTCATTCAATGGAACTTAATTGTCTTATATACCTTCCCTCTCATCAAGGCGTCGTCAAGAAAGAAAATGCTGTATGTGTATATCTCAACAAGAAAAGGCTCTTGACCGATGCTATCTGCCTTTCATGTTCGCTACGCCACTGAGATGAAAACAGAGAAGCCAACGAAAGAATCATCGCGGTTTCAAGAACGGACATCACGGATGAAAAGATATTACGACCTCAATCATATCTTGAACCATAAATTTTCTCATCTAATGGCTTGGTTGTGTCGAGTGCGTGCTAATACAACAAGAAGTAGTTTTTGAATATCATATCCTCTGTAGTGTTTCCTGATGAGCTTCGTACAACGCGTGCTATCGTGCCCGAGGTGTGCACTGCAGAACAGGTACTACGACCAGTACGTAGTGAGTACGTACCGTACATCTCAAGAGATTCGAATTTCTCACCGGGAAGCACGACTTTCTTTGCGGCACGTCTGGAATCATGGAAGTCAAAAAGAAAAAAAAATATCAGGGCCCTCCGGAACCAACGCGCGCGCGTCCCCCCTTTGAAATCTAATATCGGGGGTATGATTTCGTGTTTTTTTTTTCACAAAAAATAACCCACGTTTCTAAAACGTGTTTTTTTTTTCCAAAAAATAAACCATGTTTTAAAACGTGGGTTTCTGGGTTCCTGGGTTAACCCACAAATAACCCACGAATAACCCACGAATAACCCGCGAAATAACCCACGAAAAACCCACAAACCTGCTGGGCCTTTATCCAAATATTAAAAACAGTGATTAAATAACGTTAATGACTAAAATACTTAACACCCTTGGTTCTCCATCAACCCAGATGACTATAAATTCTTGGGTTATTCGTGGGTTATTCGTGGGTTATTCGTGGGTTCTTTCGTGGGTTATTTGTGGGTTCCTGCTGGGTTCTTTCATGGGTTATTTTTCAAATTAGTAAAAAACCCACGTTTTAGAAATGTGGGTTATTTTTCACCAAAAATAACCCACGTTTTTCTAGGGGAGGAATTCGAAAAGGGGGATGTGCGCGTGGGTACCGGAGGGCCCAGGGCCCTAGCTCCAGTACGTACCCACACGCGCATCCCCCTTTTTGAATTCCTCCCCATGTAAAAAATGAATTATTTTTGGTGAAAATTAACCCACATTTTAGAATCATGGGATATTTTTGGTGAAAAGTAACCCATATTTTAGAATTGCAAGTTATTTCATTGGAAAAATAACCCACTAAAAAACCAGAGGACCCAGAAATAACCCACGAGTAACCCACGAATCCACTGTGGAAAGAGCGAGTACTAAACTACCAGCATGGTGGTGATGGTGATTTTTATTGGAGGGGTGGTCGTTTTATAACCTGTCGGAGTGACTATGTGATAGTAGTGATGTCTATCAAGTGCTAGAAGAAAAATGAGTCAACACTCTTACTATCAAGGATTGACAAACTATGAAATGTACTAAAATCAATTCATTGCGTGAATTGAATGAGAGTCACCAACAAGAAGTCAGTCACGTGAGTGAATCAAATGAATAAAGTCAATTGTGTGGATCCATAGGATCAAATGAGTCATGAATGTAGAGTGTGTATGAATCATATATATGTTTCATATGTATGTGTCATAGATATGAATCATACCCTAGATCTGATATCCTACGGACAGCATCGTCCACAAGTACTAGTAACCTGCCCATAAATAGTACAGTCATTTGGTGGGGGGTTGTGGAGAACCAAGGATGTTAAGTATTTTAGTCAATAAAGGCAATTAATCACTGTTGTTTATGTTTGAAAATAGGCCCTGCAGGCCCAGCAGATCTGTGGGTTATTTGTGGATTTTTGTGTGTTTGTGTTATTTTGTGGGCTACTAGTAGTACTAGTATTCTTGGGTTAACCCAGGAACCAAATTTCAAAACATGGGTTATTGTTAATGAAAAATACCCCAAGTTTTCTTAGAATCTTGGGTTATTCCATGGGAAAAAAATAACCAACAAAAACATTTTTTCCTTCTGGACAGAAAGACTGAAGGGAGAACCCTGCTTATGTTTTGAGTTAACATATTGGATATCCTCTACCACTTCATACCTCACAAAATTTTCAGACACTGTGCTGCTTTTGTTTTCCTGAACCATAATTGTATTTTCCATACTAAGTAAGAATATGATATAAAAACTCAAGAACCCACATATGCGTGTCAGCAGAGGCGCTCACTCAAAACTCTCAAAGTCAGCATAAATAATGGTGGCCACAACACAAACTGCACACAAACTGCACACATACTACTAGTACTACTACTAGCACCAGTTCAGATCTTGTTTGAACTACTAAGATAATCAACCAATCAGCTTCTAGTACGTTCATCATTCTTGATAACCTTATCCCCCATATAACCTGATACAACTTTAAGACTGAATTTGTTAGCACTACTAGTAGTACTACTTGGGTTCCTCACCAGAGAGGAGGTACTTTTTTAAAATTTGGAATACTGGATTTTGAACCTCAAATCATTGACTGCTGGTAGTGTTTTCTTACTAAATTGTCAGTGCAACTATGAGCCGCCATATGACAAATTTATGACAGTAGGCCATTGGGTGATTTCCAAAAACATAAACCGAGAATTACATATTTTCCCCCCATTTTTGGAATTTGGAATCCTTATACATTTAGTGTGCATAGCATTTAGTCTGTATGCCCAAATAATAACTCAAGGATTCCAATAAAAAATGTGTCTCCATTCACAGATCTTGGTTGTCATGGGCCCACGACAACCAAAATTTATGTACTACTTCGATACATAAAACAAGTCGGCCGGCCTCATTTTTATATTTCTATGTTTGCGGGAATCACCCATTGTGAAAAGCAGCACTTCACTCCCTACAAACAAACATCAGATTGTTGGTTAGGTAGTACGGATAAAACTTCTTTCATTTCTGAACAAAGGTGACAAGCCAACATCGCATGTAGACAACAATCCCACAACCCACAATACCACTAATTGCAAAATAGAGAAGAATGGAATTTATGTGATTTGTTCATATTCTTGGCAGTATCAAGCTTTTCTGCAAAAGACAGAAAGAAAGATATTTCTAATATTGATTGCAATTTACAGCGGGCTCCTCTACCTAAAATACATTCACTATCTTTTGGATTCTTTCTATTTCAGAGTGTCTAGAAATTCTTCGAGGGGTGCATTCTCCCAGCTTGCCGTTTTGTCCCCTCCTCCGCTTCCAATCCAAGCTGGCGATGTTTTGATACACAAGAACTGATCGGCTTGACAGGCCTTGTAGGGCTCACATTCTAATGAGAGTTTCGCATCTTTAACATCTGCATGGATTTGAGCAATCAACTCAGGAAAGCTATCAAACTTCTTTTCTTCTCTCAGGAATCCCACCAACTGTAGCCTCATAGGAACCCCGTAAAAGTCTTCGATAAATGCCTTGTCGCTGGTAGTTTCGTTCTTCTCCGCGTTATTTGTATTGTCGCCCGTATCTTTTTCGTCGCCATCTTCCATTATCAAGTGCGCTTCGATAATTTTTTCTTTGTTTTCTTCCCCTTCAAACGTTGGAGAGAACCCAACGTTTACTACTGCTTTGTGGAATTCGATATCGTTGTCGTAGTTTCGCTCAAGGGCCACCCATCCGAAGTAGACGCCTGTCCCAACATCTTCCAGTGCGTTTTGAAAGAGACTGCTCGGAAGATTTGCAGTGGGGACCCCCAGCTTCTTTCCGCCGCGACCGTAACCCTCATCGACTGCCCCACGAAAGCGCAACACGCTGGGAAGCAATCGAGCCCTAGCAGGAGGGATGGGATCATCAGCACTGATTGCGCTATCCGCAGCATACAGCTTTCTTCCAACCTTTCTGTAGTGGCAAAGATGATTATTGATGGAAAAGGCCGATCTTGGCGACACGAATGATGTAGCCAGAGGTAGACATATCAACAGAACAAAAATCGGTGCTTTTTTTAATAGCGCCGACGTCTGTAAAAATAACAACGAGGACAGCGATCCATTTTCTCTATTCGATGGAAGTTTAGCACCAAACATCATCGTCGGCAATTCCAAAACAGATATGATATTAGCGTGATAGCGCTGAAGTTATGTAACCACTTTGACACAATAGTGTGAATGCGATTCATATCAAGGATCCAATAATCCAGCAACTCTACAACCGTTCGTACGATTTTTGTATCTGATCTGTTGGACTGAATTACGTTTCCAATGTTTCTCATAATGGTCGGATGAGTCGAGGAATATTAGTGATACTACTTTTAGTAGAAACATATGGTATGTACAACTCGAAGAGTACTGAAGATTATAACAATGGCGAAACATCAACTCGGTAGGATGCAATGCATTTTCTAACTGAATACACCAAGCCAGTGTGCACTAAGAACAAGCCACAGTACAGTAGTTGGAAAATGTAGTACTAGTAGTAGTAGGGACTTTGTGCAGCAGGCAGCTAAAGTGTAATGGTGGTAAAAAGAAATTGACGAGGAGGAGGGGGAGTGAAGTCATCCGATGCACTTAATACTACTAGTATTACAACTACTACTAGTAGTAGAGATCGAAGAGCCTGTTTTCTCTACTACTACTAGCTATGGGCATGGAAACCACATACTATTTTGAGGGGGGAAAGGGGGGTTTGTAGAAAAATATGAAAATCCTACTATTTGTGGGGCCATTTCTTCTATCTTGTTGGAAAACATTCCTAGTACAAAATACTTTCTTCCGTGATTTCAATCGACAGCTCTGGTGTTCACCGTCATAAATTATCCACACAGTTTTCCCCACGGCTGTCGCAGCACCTAGAGCAACACGAACACTCGATCTGGGCCGGGAACTCGTCGCTGCCGAGGCAGTCGGACGCCAGGTCCGTGCCATTGCTTGTCCACAGCAGATCGGAAGCACAGAGCGTGCTCTCCACGGTCCCCGTCAGCATGTTTCCGTGAAACCAGAAGTATTCCAGGTTTTCCAGGGCGGAGTACTCTGCCGGCACGGTTCCCGTCAGGCGATTGCCGTCCACAAACAGGTTGGCCATCTTGGTCAGGTTTCCGAGCGAAGGTGGGAGGGGGCCTTCGAAGCGGTTCGATTCCAGGTACAGCGATTCGATTTCGGTGAGCTCCCCGAGCCCTTCCGGAAGCGTGCCCTCCAGCCGGTTGTCGGACACGTCGAGGATCTCGAGCATGCCCAGCCCCCGCCATTCCGGTGGGAGTGTCCCTGTGATGTCGTTCAGCCTCAGGCTGGCGTAAAACAAATCCGAAAGGGATCCCCATTCGGCGGGCATCGTCGACGAGAGGCTGTTGTTCTCCACGTCGATGCTTGCGAGTCGGGTGGCGTTGGCAAACTCGCCCGGGAGTCCCCCCGTTAGGTCGTTCGTGTTCAACCAGAGCGCTTGCAATCTTCCCAGCCTGCCGAGTTTGGACGGAATCGTTCCCGTGAGCTGGTTTGCATCGAAATCGATTTTCACCAGGGATCTGAGCAAGGACAGCTCCCACGGTATCTCTCCCMGCAGCGCGTTGTCGGACATTGCAATCGTCGTAGCGAACGGCGATCCGCCGGCGCAAAAGATCCCCTTTTTGGTCCCGATCGCATCGGTGTCTTCCCGGGCGGGGCTGCTCTCGCCTTTGGCAGCAGTGGAATCATTCCCGATGATCTCCGTTTGGCTTCTCCGATCGTTGTTCCAATCGCAAACAGTCCCCGGGGTGAGAAAGAAGGACGAATCCGTCCATCGCCGATCCCCTCCCGTTGAGAAGTACAGAACCGCCAGAGCGTACCGCTCCACCAACACCTCAACGGACGTGGCAAGGACGTCGGTTTCCACATCACCTCCCGCCATCCAATCCAGGGCGGCACCACGGAAGGCACCGGCACCGGCGGCAAAATACGTCTCCGGATTGTCCACAAAGTCCTCCGGAACTATGTAGGGGCCTATCCGTGCCAACAGCTGGTCCCTTCTCTCGGTCGTGGAGGCGTTCGAATCCATCGGGCTCGGGGTTGGGCTCTGCGTCGGGTTGGCCACGAGCGGGGGATCTTCGGTGGAACCGGGGCCTTCGTCGAGGCCCGCGGAACCGGCGGGCGATGGCTTCGGCGAGGAGGTCCGGGTGGTGGGGTCGGCGCTCGGCACGGCGGAAGCCTCCGGGTCGGTGGCAACCGCGGGCGGGAGAGTCGCTCGGGAGACCGATGGATCGCTTCCGCCGGTGGTCTGGGCTTTTCTCTCGCGGGCAAACCAAACGCGTGCCCCGGCCACACCGCCCACGACGAGCAGCACGAGGACGCAGAGAATCAGCCCCCAGCACCTCCTGCGGATCCCGCAGATCTCAAAGTTGTCGTTTTCTTTTTTCTCGGGTCCGAATCCGTGGCGGTCCCCGCTGCCCGCGTTGCAAGCCCGTTCCAAGAACAAGCGGCGGTCGACCTCTTGCTTGAGCCGCTCGTTGATCTGGGCCTCGATCTGGGCCTCCAGCCGCTCGGCCACCCGGTCCTCGACGCCGCTGTCGCTGCTGCCGACCACCTCGGCGATCGCGTGCTGCCGGGGATCCCGGGAGAGCCGTCGGTCGACTTCGCGCGTCAGCCGCGCCGAGATCTGGGCATCGATCTGGGCCTCCAGGCGTTCCGCCACCCGGTCCTCCACGTCTCGCTCGTTGTAGGAGCGGGTCGGTGCCAGTTCGGCGGCGATGGGAATCGACGAGAGATCGGTCGTCCCCCGGCTCTCGTCCGTCGTGCTGCTGCGGCCGTAGAAGGAAAAGGAAGGCGACCGCGGCGGCGATAGCGGAAGCGACGGCCTCGAGCTATTGCCGCTGGCGGTGCCACTGGTGCCGCTGCCACTGGTGCCGCTGCCACTGGTGCCGCTGCTGTTTGTGTTGTGGTGCACCACGGTCGCCCAGGGATCGTCGTCTCCGACGGACGCGTCGAGAAAGTTGTCCGGTTCGTCGTCGTGTTCGTTTTCGAAGAACCGGGAGAGCAGCCCCGGGACGCTGACGGCTCCGGGCACGGTTGGTTCCCGCGCCGTCGACCGGAGCGGAGGGGGCCTTGCCGCGGCCTCGAGAAAGGCGCTGGTGGTCGGAGCCAGCGGCGAAGGGGGGACACGGTGTGGAGGCACCAGCGAGGGCTCGTGCTCGTCCTCGGTTTTGCGGCAGGAGTCCTTTGCGGTGCAACTGTTGTTGCTGCTCGTCGGCATGCTTTGTTCGGGTCGTTGTTTTGCTTTTCGGGAGTTGTTGGCAGCGAGGGCACCAAAGAATTGAATTGGTCCGGGCTGCTCTCTCTGTTGGATTGTTCTTTTGCAACGAGATCGATGGTCCGTACGGTAGTCCTGTTCTGTTCTGTGGCGGAGACTCGCCAGTGGGTCTTGTCGATCGATCGACAAATTCTGCTACTGGCACGGTATCGTACGATGCCGGGGAGGAATTCGAAAGTGAAACTTCTCCCGTCCGCTGTAACCAGCCCAAGTCACGTCGAGTCTCGCCAATCTGTTCCGCTAATGATCGCTAATGATGATTCGATTCGATTCGATGGTGCACTCTTTCCTGCTAGCGCACGAACCATGACTCCGTGTGACCCTCTGTACTGGGCCCCTGTGCTGCAAGACCAGTGATACTTCGTACCTGCTAGCTTCCGAGTATAAATCTTAACACCGAGTAAAGTACCGGTACTCGTACGAAGTGACGGAAAAAGAAATCAAAATATCCTGCCATCATAATAGCATTTTGAATCGTGCATAGCGTAGCATGGCCCGTGTTGCACCGCGTACGGTAGGTACGTTTCTGCCCTCACGTACACTTTCGACGACGATACTAACTCGTACTATTTTCGATCTATCGCCACGAGGAGTTGTGCCCGCGATTACGATACGAGCAGTATCACGAATATCGTACGTATGTACAGTACCGTACGTACTTCGTACTTCGTTCCAGTTCCGGTCGTGTCAACGGTCAACACACTCTTCACGACTGAGAAAAGAATTTCATTCCCGAATAACCGAGTCCACAACGAAAACCCGAATGTGTTCTGTGCTTCTGTCCGTGTGTCACGGAACCACCAATCTGCTTTGGAAAAAGTCCGGGAAACCGAACAGGGCCAATCAATCGATCATCGATCATCGATCATCAATCAACAATCAATCGCGCTCCGGCTGAGAAAGACTGAAAAAAGATTTCATTCCTGTGCTACGGTACGGTACCACACCGCACGGTGCCGTATCGTACCGTACCTACAATCCACCATTCCATCGAACAAGGAACGAGCCCACAATATCCGTGCGATCGCAAGAAGGAAGAAACAAAGCAGAAGATCATGGCAAGCTCCAGCAAAGAGGTGAGTTGGGTTACACAGTACCGTACGGTACCGTACCGTACCGAAAGCTGCGTCGGATTCAATTGGTATCGAAACAAGGGCATCGAACCGCCGTGACTCGAAAGAATACCGCTCGCAACAGTATCTCGACAACGTGCATCTCACACCTGTTCTGGCATTCCATCCAAATCGAATCGAATCGAATCGAATCGAAACAACCGAACGAACCACGCCGTGTTGTCCTTGTTTCCGCGCAACCACAGAAGGACCTCAAGGCCAAGCAAAAAGCGGCCAAGATAGCCAAGAAGGCCGCCGATGACGCCATCAAGGAAGCCGAAAAACTGGCGGAGGAAGTTGCCAAGCTAGAGTCGGAGATCGAGGCCGATGCCAAGAAGAAGGCCAAGGCCGACTCCGGAAGCGACTCGGACAGCAKCAGCAGCAGCAGTAGTAGCAGCAGCGATTCGGACAGCGACAGCGACGACGAGGACACCAAGAAGAAGCCGGTTGCCACCAAGAAGGAGGAAAGCGACTCTTCCGACAGCGACAGCGACTCGGATTCCGATTCGGACGACGAGGAAGAGAAAAAGGTAGAAACAAAGAAAGAAGAGAGCGACTCGTCTTCTTCGGACGACGACTCCTCCTCGGACGAGGAAGAGGCCGCACCAGCAAAATCCAAGGCCGTCGCAAAGGCCGACGACGGCAGCAGCAGCAGTTCCGACTCGGACTCCGACAGCGACTCCGACGACGAGGAGGACAAGAAGGAGGCCGATAAAATGGAGGTCGACAAAAAATCCTCGGACAGCAGTAGCAGCAGCAGCAGCAGTGACTCGGACAGCGACTCGGACGACACCGCGGCATCGGATCCTCCCGAAAACAATGCCGAATCAAAAAAGAGAAAGGTGGAAGAAGAAGAGACGGCCGAGCCACCCGCAAAGAAGCAAGCCGTCGAAGACGGCGGCGAGAGCGTGACGAAATTGTACATCCGAGGACTGCCGTGGAGGGCCACCGAGGACGCCGTTCGAGATTATTTTGCCAAGTGCGGAAGCGGTCCCAAGTCCGTGGAGCTGCCGCTGCAAGACGACGGAAGAAGTTCCGGAACCGCGATCATTGATTTCCACGATGCCGATTCGGCGGCCGCTGCCATGGAACTGAACGGGGCCGATTTTGAGGGTCGCTGGTTGTCCATCAAATACTCGACTCCCAAACCAATCCTGGCGCCGCGCCAGACAACTCCGAAACAAGAAGGTTGCTGCACCGTCTTTGTAGGAAACCTGGCGTGGGAAATCGACGAGGACTCTCTTCGTGCCGCCTTTGCGGAATGCGGTGAAATCACGCAGATTCGTTTTTCGACGGACAGAGAAACCGGAGATTTCAAGGGGTAAGTTTCCGCTAGGGTTTTGATTTCTTTGCCGTGCATGATTTGTTGCGCACTCTTTCTAATAAGATCCCCCCGCATCCTTTTGCATTTGCAGGTACGGGCACATTGAATTTGCACAGACAGAATCCACCGATGCCGCTATCAAAATGGCGGGAACCGATATATTCGGACGAGCGGTTCGGGTCGACTATGCCAACGACCGCAGACAATCCTTCGGAGGCGGTGGTCGCGGTGGCGGAGGCCGAGGAGGAGGTCGCGGCGGCGGCCGCTTCGGAGGCGGTGGTCGCGGTGGAGGTCGTGGCGGAGGCCGAGGAGGAGGTCGCGGCGGCGGTACCCCCCTGCACAAGAAGTCGGGCGGAATTGCCAGCTTTTCTGGTACAAAGATTACATTCGATTGATCAGCATTTTCACCGGTTGACAAACATGAATCCACAACTATATATATATATTAAAAAAATAATGCACGGGAACGTTCTGTAGTACTTCTATTCAATACGCCAGCGGCTCTACAAATCATAAAATCATGTAGTTTGCTCCGGGTCTGCACAATCTCAAGGCAATGCGTATTGGCATTGCAATTTTGCTCTGGCCTAGTCGTACAAGGACTGATATATCAGAGACAATGTTTTTGGACATCATTGTATTGGCGATCGTCCATGGCTTCTTCGCTGATCCTCTGATCATCTAGAGCAGCAAATGGACGATTGCGAACCATTAACCGACACTATTACCAGGCATACTAGTAATACGTTTCCAGACGACTGTTGCGGTGACATTTTCCTCCTAGATATATAGGCCTAGTATATCCCATGTGGTAGCAGAAAATGGCTGTGTCCATATCGTTGAAATTCATTCGCTTTGCCACGCTTCTTGATCCGAAGGAGTCGGGTTTCACATTGGAAACAAGAGTCAATTGTAATTGGGTGTGTGCATGTGCGTGTTGAATAGGACCCACCAAAATCTCTCTGGGAAACACATTCTAATATTGATAGCCAACGATGATCTAGAACAAGATACAAAAAATATAAAAACGAAAGTAGTTATATTACATCTAGATAAAAATTGATTTCCAATCCCGGGAAGAAGGCGTCGAAAAGTGCCATTCGATTTCTATCGGTTGTGTGGTCCGCAAAGGCCGCATTCTGTAGGGTATTCAAACACAGCAACTTGCCGGCAAGCATCCAACTCCTCGCGCTGCAACACATCCCTCAAATACTTAATTCTGTCACGACAACTGTATGGACCTGCCTTGTTGTCTAAGACACTGGCGCATTCCTCACGATGAAAACAACGTACGGGATCAAAAGCAGAAAAATCATCGTCGTCAACGCTGTGGGGATCATCGTCGTCGTCATCAAAGCCATCATCATCACCGTAAACATCAAAACCTTCGTGCGGATCGAAATCGAAAGAGTCGGCATCGTCGTCAACATAGAGATCAAGACCAGCGTCACCGTAATCGTTAACTTCAACTTTGTCAACTGCGTCATCACCTCCCACAATTTGTTCAGATTCATCTTCATTGCCAAGTACGGGATTGGTAACTGGAGGACGAGTCGATGCATACCACAAAGAATTACTCTTGGAATGCCCGTTTCCACCAGCATGTTTGTACGCACTTCCAGGAATTTGCAAAATCCCGTCGATCGCTTCTTGGACGCGACCAATTGTAGCCTGAATGGCATGTAGCTGAACGGACCATCCCTCAGAGACACAAGCCGCATCGCAAGATTCCATGAGTGGTTGAACTATCTCCCTTGCCCATTGGACACTATCTCTAGCCTCAGAAATCGCTGTGAGGGGCATTAGCTGGATACCATAAATTAGGTAAGGAGCATTTCCGAACCAGGTAGTGAATTCGGCAAATGTTTCCCAAAAAATACCAACGACGCTTGCTCCGTAACTTTCTGAAATCCGTGATTTCTGCTGAACTTGGTAGTAATGCTGCGTGGACCGTATTTCTGTAGCGGTCAGAGTCAATCCAATTTTGTGCATCATATTTGCAGTGTGCGCCTGTTCGGTATCTCCTGCATGATGGAAAATGGTAGCCATTGTTTTTCCAAAGAGTGCAATGGCTTCGTATGCCATGACAGCTTCACTCGAAGATTCTTGATTCATGATATTGCCAAACATTGGTTCAGTTAGTCCACTTGCCCAGGAATGACCTCTGTACCAATCCTTGTTTCTGAAAACCGGGAATGCCGTATCTTCCTCTGATGCGTTTGCGTAATCTCGCACTAACAAGGTGACATCTTCATAGTGATCAATAGCCCAAGAAGAATCAAAATGAGCCAAGACTGCAGCAGCATAAACGTGATATCCATAATGAAAGTGGTGATCGTTGTAAAACCCATTCCCGAAATTCAAGCCTTGATCCGTGAAAGCAGGACAATCAGGGAATTGGTTAACACATTTTTCGTTTTGATATATACACCCACAACTGATAAGTCCACCCCAAGCATTGTCGTATACAAACGGCGTTTCCGAGTTGGTCTTGACCCAAACAGTGACTCCTGCGCGCAACTGGTTCAAGGCATTTTCATCTTCTTCGTCACTTGGTAAAACCAAGCCATCGCATGCATCCCAATATTGACTATTTCGAAATTGAAGTGCAGATGTACACATCATCTTTATCTCTTCGTTAATCAAAAGAATCCGAGCTAACTTTGCAAAGGTTTTTCCAGAGAAATATGTGTCTCCCGCTCCCGAAAAAAAGTTGGATGGAACTTGATAACGAATATCTTCCAAGAGTGCTTCTGCCAGCAAAGGAACATATTTTGGTTCTGGATAGCGTTCTGCTTGGAAAGAAACCCCTGGAAGTTCTTCGTACATGTTCCAAACATTGCCCTCCACCAAACAGATGGGTCCCAGCAGAGAAGAAGTGCAAAGAGTTTGGAATACATTGCCCTGCAAGACTTCTAGGTGATGAGGCAAGGCAAACATGATCATTTCACCATAAGTGTCTCTGATGTCTGTTGACTCTTCACCGACAACAACACTATTTTCGAGACGCATCTTTCGAGGATCCCAGTTAAACGATATTCTAGCTTTTCTCTTGTGCTTGTGGAAAGAATGTGTGACGGCGGTTTGATCTCCTGGATAGACATTCGCCGAGGCTCGTAGTTGGTTGGCATACATGTCGCTGAAGGCTTCGGCGTCACTGGCTGGGTTAGAACTTTCGATGACCACTGCTCCACGAATGACCAACGTATGATCATCATAGAAATCTTGACCTTTCAAAACCTGAAGGATTGTAGGGCTTCCCTGCGAGTTCTTACATTGTAGTTGAACTGGTTTTGAGAAGAAAATCAACCAGCGCTGCCCGCTGTTCAGAAAGGCAAGCTCAATATCTCGTTGGACCGTGAACACCGGTTCCGATTCACAATTCACCTTTCGATTTCCGTCTACAATGGGTAGTTCTGAAGTATCCAACCTCCAATGCATGGTTGGCAAAAATCCCTGGGTCGTAGCGTGATCCACCATGTTATAGATCATAGTGACATACGGAGATCCGCGAACCAAAGTAGTTTTCATGAACGAATTCCATTGCAGCGTGAGTCCCAAGTCATTTGCTTCGTGAACCGAATATCCCTTATCTAATTCGGTGGTCATCAAATCGTTATTGACGTCGCTCATGGCTCCGAGGGTCAAAGCGTATGGTTCATCGGTAGCGATTCGCATCTGTGTTGGTGTCGCCTCGAAACGGGTCGCATGAAGACGTATACCGGCAAAATCCCCTGCGGCATCAAGTACATACGGGACGGTGTACACACGATGAGCTGCTGTTGGTTCCTCGTTAACGTCCAATCGCAACATGTTTTGGTACCATGCATTCGTCGGAACAGCCCTCTTCAAATGACTGAGACGGGCGCTAGGAGAAGAACTGGAAGGTCGATCGAATCCAAAACGATCCAAATCCTCTGTCGGGTCAAAAGTGGAGAACGGTGGGATGATGACATCGTCATTAGCAAAGGCGTTTTTGCTATTACTAAGGTGAACAAAGCCAAGATTACCTGCTCCACCGCCTTCACCACGGATTGGAAATCTCGAACCGACACCATTTTTTCTCATCTCGTTTGTACTAGATATCGTAGAGGACTCACTCGTCCTCTTTGTTACCAGGAGTGTGAAAAAGGCTACAATCAGCGTGAGACCAATGATGAGATACAACACAAGGAGTCTCTCTCTGCGACGAATGGAATCCAGTACACAATAATTATAGGAGCAACCCGACAGCTTTTCTTTTTTCGATGACCATCGACCATGAAAGCCTTTCTCGTTTGAGCATTGTAAAGTAATTCCAGTACCTTCCCTTGCTTCCTCAAAGACCTCTAATGTTTCGTCAAAGTCCAAGTCGTCATCATAAGTTATGGGTTCTTCAAATTCTACGTTTTCCTCAACGTTGACATCGTCCTCAAAACCTATTGTTTCTTTGAAGTTCAGTGAGCTAAATGGATCATCTTCGAGTTGTTCTCCATGCAAGCATAGGTCATCACTTTTGTTAAAGGTTTTCATCTTTCGTCGTACATCGAAATTCGAATTAGTGTATGTTTGCGCCACTTGTAATTTGCGTCGATGTCAATGATGGTGCCCAAAATTCTTTCTTCGTTAAGATAGGTTCCCGAACCGCAGCGACGATGATATTTCGTGTAAGATTAGATCAGGTGGACACGAGTAGCGCTAATGATTGCTATTGAATCGTGAATACGTGACTGTAATGCTTTCCTGTCTCCGCCTAAACTGCACAATTTCGATGATCATTTTGGATAGTGAGATCACGCTATTGCTTATTCAGACACGACTTCTAGTGCGCTATTGTTTGTATTCGTCAGACCTGCAGTGTACTATTGGTTAGGTGGTACACTTTACCGAACCACATTCTCAAATCTTGGAAGCAGTAAAATTATCCCGAGGATGTTGAGTCTTGTCACCTAAAATATATGTGCATTAGTAGCCAACCGAAAAAAAATAGGACATCAGGCTTATTAATTTCTGGCGGAACCTGGCCAAAGGTTTTTAATAATACTGTATGTAAATCGATGTATTACTGTATTAAGTAGAAATTTTTACATTGTAACGTTGAGAAGAGTTCGATGTAGAATAATTTTTCACGTACAATTCGAAATACGAGTGTTCAAGAAGTCTTCCCGAAATGGTCCACCCTTGCGATTTCATTATCTACTTTTTGGAACAGGAATTTTCAAGCGTTTAGGAACTATGATCAACAATTATGTGGATTACGGTACTACTGGAAACCAGATTCTTCTATTGAATTACGGGTCTCTTGTTTTTAGTACCGTACTGGTGCTCCATATATTACAGTAATGGGTCATTCCCGAAAACATATTCTGTGATATGTTTTCGGGAATCACTTTCAGTGGTTCAGATGGCACCGCCGGCCAGCTCAACTTACATATTTTCCCCCCATTTTTGGAATTTGGAATCCTGTATAAATTGCATGCAATTTCACAAAATTCCATAGTGGCGGGAACTTTGGGATTTTCACTAAACCAGCTGTGCCTTCAAAACTTCGGAAACAGAATCCATATGCTCCTGTGATATGGCTGTACGTTGTAAGACTCGAACGTACGTACGGTACCGCCAGTACTACCGTACAGTTCTAAAAGAATTTTTTGCCGAACCGTAAGAGATTGTACAACGTAAAAACACCCCCATAATAGTATCATACTGTATGAAGGTATGAATACGAAATATGAGGAAGACTGCTGCCATATTTTAGATTGAGGAAGTTTGATTCAGGGCCCTCCGGAACCCACGCAACGTGCGCGCTGTTTCCCAACTTTCTTTTGGCCTCTGCGCATATTTTTTTTTTCCTAAGCTCACGGAGCGTGCGCACATCACATTCACACCCCCTTTTCCATATCTTCCCCCTAAAATTCGTGGGTTACTTTTTGGGAAAAAAAACCCACGTTTTG